GAATTTATTTGTTTTTTCTAGAATGATGATCTTCCCCAAAAACTGCAATACCATTTATAGCAAAATTCCTGACTGTAATCAAGTGGTGATTTAATGATGGATTAATGAGGAAAAGGGAAATATGTGAAGAGTGGACAATTATAATGAAATTGAAAAAATTAATGTTAACAACAGTGTCAAAGATTATATTAGCAACAAGAATAATGAAATTTAAATTTGCACTAGAGTGACCAAAGAAATAGGTTATACTCATTAATGGTTTGGGTTTAAGTATTTTTCTCCCATGCAATCACTCTGGTGCTTTTATTGTTATTTATATTTTCAAGAGCGATTGCATTCTATATAATAAAAGTAATAAAATTATGTTTACAAAAATTGAATTATCATTATGTAATTATGACTCTTTGGTTGCAATTGTGTCAAGATAGCAAAATGCGAATCAAAGCTCAACGAATACACTCGAGCAGTCTTTTATCAACAAGTCAAAGACTATATAAATGGAGGCCTTGGTGGAAGCTTTTACACTAAATTGCTTCCTTTATGTTTCTTCTATTTTTTTTTCTTGGTTCATCATAAGTTGGTGTCAATGTTTTTTTATTTCTTAGTAAACTTCATAGATAATCCTCACCTTGTTCTTTTTCAAAATACTTCTGATAGTACTATAATTCTTGGGTTCCATATTGAATCTGATATATATTAGGTTCATATTTATTTTCATGCAGAGGTGATCCCTATGTAAGAACTGAGTAATACAGTGGTAATACAATTGTGATGTTGAAAAATTTTTTGATCCCTGAAATTCTGGTGCTATGAATGTCCACTTTGCCTGGTTTTTGTTGCAGCATGCTCCATATGAGACTTGAAATGATTTCTTAAGATTTGTAATCATGTATTTATATCTCAAAATTTCCTTATTATTATAAGCATGCACAAAATTTGTTATAAAAAATCACTTGTCCCAATAAAATCTAAATTTTTATTATAAAAAAAATTTATTATTATGAAAAGAAAGATAAATTATATTTCCAATCTAGTATTAAACTATCACTACTATCACTACTATCAAGACTATTGTTACTATTACATTACCACAATCATTATATTTATGCAAATATAACTATTGATCAGCTACTATTACTAGAATTATATAATTATTATTATTTAATGAATCCAGGTCATTGTTTGTTCAAACCTTCAGAACGAGCTCTTTGTAATTCTTTTTTTATAATTTTCAACTTTGAATGTAGTTGTGAATAACTTTTAAGCTTGGTCCCAGTATCAGTTTCTGAACCAAACTCTTCAATTACTTTCATGGCAATCTTTTCTTCTTCTTTAGTGCCAGCAGATTTTTCAAGGTCTTCTGACAATTTTCTATGAAGTTCTTCCTTCTTTTGAAGAAATTGGTCTAACATATCATACTCTGTATATAATTCTTTATATTCATTTAATAACTTTACATAATCATCAAAGCTTTTAATTTTTAATCGATCATTGTTAAATGTCCCATTAAATCCACTATTACCATTATGTGGGTTTATTCTACTACTGCTTCCACCATTAATACCTGATGACCTGCTAGTTGTATCCGAATTTGATTTCATGTTTGAATTAATACTTGATTTGTCATTCAAACTGGAACTTGATTTAATAACAGTACTGTTATTAGTGTTTGATCTTCCAATGGAATTGATGATTTGTTTACTACTGCTGTTACTATTTATATTTGCTTATTTATAGATATCAAAGGTTAGAGGAAGGAAATGATTTTTTGCTAAATATTATTATTACATATAATTGAAATCTTAATAATAATAATAATAATAATAAATTAACTATTTTGTAATAGCTGCAAATGTGCTGTTAAGTTCTAATGGAGATGGTATATATATATATATTATTTGCATGTATAAACATAAAAGTATAAATATATTAATTATTTAATTATATAATTGTATTATAGTTAAATTGGCAGATTTTGGAGTTTCTGGACAGGTTTGCTTAATTAACAAAATTTTTTGGTAACTTATTAAATTTTGCTAAAGGTATTATTTATTATATGATAGATTACAGCCACTATGACCAAGAAAAATACTTTTGTTGGAACACCAGTAAGTTTAGTCTCTTTTCTTGTTAGTAAAAAGAAAAAAGCATAATATTCATTTTATTTTTTAATTACGAATAAAAAAGTTTTGGATGGCACCTGAAGTAATAAAGCAATCTGGATATAATTCTAAAGTAATTATTTATAATATAATTTTTTTTTATCAAATCATTAATTTAATTTTAATTAATCATGTGCACATGTATACACTTTTAGGCAGATATTTGGTCATTGGGTATAACTGCTATTGAACTTGCCAAAGGAGAACCACCATATGCTGATTTACACCCAATGAAAGTTCTTTTCCTTATCCCTAAAAATCCACCACCAAGTCTAGATGGGATATATTCTAAAACATTTAAGGAGTTTGTGGCTGCATGTTTGGACAAAGATCCAAAAAATGTATTATTTAGTTTCTTTATAATTAAAGATTTATTCATTCAACCTATTTGTTACAAATTTTTGTTAAAATTTTTTTTACAATTAGCGACTGTCTGCAAAAGAATTGCTCAAAAACAAATTTATTCGTAATGCCAAAAAAACTTCATATTTAACAGAATTAATTGAACGATATCAACGATGGTTGGTGGAGAGAGGTCATGATGATACAGATGAAGTGACACATAATGAAAATGGGTAAAATCATAAATATAAATATGTAGAAATAAATTTCATTAGTTTTTTGATCCAAATTTTTACATCATAATTTCAATAGACATGATTCTTATGAAGAACCATCTTGGGAATTTGAGACTGTTAAACATGCAAGACCAGTTTCACTAACATCATATAATGAAGAGGATGATTATTCAGAAGACAATGCCACAATTGGTCCTGCTAAAGGAAAACAAGCAATGGTATTGAAAATCAATATTCATCAATAACTATTTAAATTTTCTTAAATCAGTATTCTAAATATATAATATTAATAACTGTTAATAGGCATTAAAAACAAATGATTCTGGATATGATACAATTAAACATATAAGCAGGATTGATGATGATAATGATAATGATGATGTTTATGGTTTATATCAAAATCATGAAGAACCACCAGTATCAGTATCGGGTCCAGAGGTTTTCACTAAAGTTATTGTTCCATCTATTGACAAGGTAATATAGAATACTTTTATTAATATTGATTTTTTTTAAAAATTAGAAATTAATTTGATATTTAAATAGTTGCGTAAAACTGCACCATCTCAAAAGGCTCGGTTAACTTTGGATGGATTAAGGATTGCTTTTGAGGATGCTGAAAAAGAAAATCCTGGCATATCAGAAATATTTATGAATGCTGTTTTTCAAAGATTTGATGAAGTTAATATCTAATTCAACATCATCATATTCTTTATTTTATTATCCTTTCTTTTCATTTATGTAAAAATATTTATATAAAATTTTTTTAATGATACCTTTCTTTTTTTTTTCTTCTGCATGCTCCAATTGTCTTTATATCATATCACATCATTATTTATCAATAATTTCTTTTCTCATTTCATATTTTTAATTTGATTATCATTGTCATTATTAATTATTAATTATTTAAAAAACATTGATATGAATATAATATTTATAGTAGGAAAAAACCAATTATAAATATTTAATTTTTATTATTATTATTAAAAAAAAAGATTACAATAATGATCCTATATAATAGTAGTAGTAGTAAGTAGTATAGATTGTATAATTATGGTACAAAAATCATAATTTTTTTTGCATTTTTTTAAAAAAAAGAAATATATATTTCTAATTTATAATGTGGGAGGAGTAAAACAAAATAAATCAAAATTAACAAGCAACGATCCTTCATTTATTAAACAAACTATGGTGATGAATGATTCCTGTATGAATTTTTATTGTCAATTTATCTAAATAAAGCCTTAGTGGTGTTGAAAATGATGCTTGAACTCAATATACAATTTACGTCATTCAATAATTGTGATTTTCTCGAAAAAATTTGAAAATTCTGACTTCTAAAAGTCAATTAAAAAAGCAGGTGATTATAAAGCACAAAAAAATTTTAATCATTAAGATGTAAATAATGAAGATTCTTAGATGATTAGACAAAACAATTTTATGACTTAAAACATCTGAAAATGAATTAATGATGAAATTTGGTATGATCATACTTTTGCGAATGATTTTAATTCTAGCTCAAAAAGACATTCTGTTTAATTCTGCATGTTAAAAAAAATGTTGCCTTTAAAACTGCTGCTGCAAATACCCATCCTTTTTCGTAAAGAAAAGTTCTCCAAATGATGTTACAGTTGATAGCATTGTGAAAATACTACTTTTTTTAAAACTCTTGTCCGTTTTTTTGATAGTTTGTAATTACATAGTAATTCAACAAAGAGTAAAAAGCGGAAATTAATTATTAAAAAAGTAGTATTTGAAATATAAAGTAATGAAAAAGACTTGATTGAAAAGTTTGAAAAACTTTATCAAAATTAACAATACTAGAAAAAGGTAGAAGCACACATCCAAACAATGTGTTAATTTTTTAGATTGCGCATTAAAAATTATGATTGCAGAGAGTATTGGTGCAAAACTCGCTTGATTCGAACATGATCTAGAAAATGAAAAAGAAAATTACTGAAAAAACAGCTCGTGTCTGGTTGAAAAAACTTGGATGGAATCACAGAAAGTTTGTAAAGATATCTACATAAGAGACCTGATGCCATCCTGGCTAGGGAAATTTTAATTGGAAATCCATTTGAATAGAGGTTGGTACCTTAATCACTTAACCGCGCGGCTAACCATCTATCTTGGTGTTACAAAATTTTATCCAACAAGAATATAGAAAAATACCAAACATATTATATATTCACATACAGTATTTATAATGATGAAATAAATACGGGCGATGCTTGCTGCCGCTAGAGTTTACTGCATGCTCCAGAGAGTATCGATCTTTACTTTTTTCTTTTGAGTGGGCTTGTGACTAGAGTTTCTTCTATTCGTAATACAAATTCTTATTCGAATTATTCATAATAATAATAATAATAATAATAATAATAATAATAATAACACAACTCAATCTTAATTCGAATTTATACGTTTTATTCGTTTATTCAAATTATTCGTTTTATTTGTTTTACTCAAATTATTCGTAATGCAACTCAATCTTAATGTTAATTTGACTGTACGGGTTGTTACACGATAAATTTAATATGTATATATGACACTCGATCTGCAATGTCCTGCGTTATTACAGTGTAACAAAAAAATTGGAAAATTTATCGTGTGTTTTAAACAGTTGCCATTTGCCCAACCAAATAATGTCACGAAGTTTTCAGAATAAACGCGAGATATTGTTTTATATATATTTTTTTTTTACCTAAAAACAAAATAAGCAAATTAACAAGAAGCTTATGTAAAAAGATAGTGGAAAAATCCTAAGAAAAAATATGGAAAGTGGGGTGTGATAGTATCATACAATGGGAAAAGGAAACAGGAATTACATACAATGGAGCAGAAAGTGGAAAGGTTTAACAGTAATAATAATAAGAATAACAGTAGAAATAGTAGTAATAATAGATCTATTAATAGAAGCAATAATGAGGATAACAACAACAACACTAATAATAATAATACTAGTACTGGAAGTAGTGATGGGAATTTTTAACCCTACACTTAATAACTCCAAGTTATTAATAGTTAATAACCACTTATTAACTGTTGCACTCTGAGTGAGAGTTATTAATCCAAAAGATCCATTTTGTCAA